GAGAAGAAGAAGAAGAAGAAGAAGAAGAAGAAGAAGAAGAAGAAGAAGAAGAAGAAGAAGAAGAAGAAGAAGAAACAAAATAATGAGCTCAGGAAAAGGAGTTGCCCTGCCCTTCTAAATCTTCTACCAGGTTAGGACACGGCCCTTCTCTCTGGAGGACACAGCAGCATAATCCTGTGGCCTTGGAGCCAGAATCACAGGTCTCTAGTGCTGCTGGTATCTTGATCATTGACTGCCCAGCCCCTAGAACTGTGAAAAGCAAATTGATATGGTCTACAGGGAGCAAGTCAGCAGTAGTTTCATTTAGAAGCATAAGTGAATTAAGACAATGTTGACTACCCAGCTACAGTTCCTGGGTTAGGTGTGCTAACCACGATTCTAAGTCTGTACGCTAAAATACCTCTAATGTTACTTTATTCATACACATTTGCAGGATACAGGGCAAGGTTTTATTTATTATTCATTACATATTGAATAGAAATTTGTATCAAAAATTACAGCAGAAAGCAGTCACGGACCCGTCTTCTGTGTGTAAGCTTACTAATGCTGTTTGTCATTCTCAACAAGTGGCTCCGACATCCAGAGGGGTTGTTTCAATCCCTCTTTGTCTTCCAGATGTTATAAGATGTGTCTGGATCCTGTAAAAGAATGACAGGAGCATGAACAAGACCTCTCTTATTTACCCTTGTTTGACAACCAAGCTTCTCTGTTAATGAACTGTACTATAGCATCATTCACCAACAGTGATCTTTGCAATCCTTGGGCAAACACTTCCATTGAAAGTAAAATATCACAGCCAAAACTCTTGATCTACACACAAATATGGCCCTCGGGCTTAGTATTTTTATCTTCTCCATGTGGCAGGAATGGGGTCGTTTCTTTTCTACTTACTCATTTGCTAAACAATGGATGCTCTAATTGGTATTCCTCTGCATCACACCGACTGACAGCCTAACTGTGTGCAAAATAATATCTAGAATTTAAGCATCAGGATGACTGTGGTGATGCATGCCTTTAATCCTAGCAATTCAGAGTTCGAGGCCAATTTTGGTTTATGTAGGGAGGTCAAGGGTAGCCAGGAATATGTAGTGAGAGAGGAAGGAAAAGGGGAGGGAGAGAGGAAGGAAGGAAGAAAGGACGGAAGGAAGGAAGGAAGGAAGGAAGGAAGGAAGGAAGGAAGGAAGGAAGGGAGAAGAAAAGATATTTGGGTGTGACTCTAAAATTATTTATGAACTTTTAATACACTGTTTACAAGATAGCAAGGCAACTTCTTAACCCCAAATGTGGCTTTTGTTTGGGAAGGGTAAACATTTGCTCATCCAAAAATTTGCACAAACACAGACAAAAATGATAATTCAAGATGGGGTGTGGCTATTGCCCTGTGGAAAGAATGGGGCATCGTCATCCCGAGACGGTGCCTGGAAATAAGAGGCTCTCAGCTTATTTAGAAATAGTCATAAAGGGGCTGGAGAGGTGGCTCAAGTCATAAAGTAAGTAAAGTCATGAGGCACGCAGTGCAAGGGACTTTTTGAAACATGACAACAGTGAGTAAAGAAGAGAAACTGACAGCCTTCGTTTTGACTTTTCCCTTACAAATATTTTAGTCTTCCAGATTAGAAATCATGTAATAAACCATCAGACATGCTGTGTGGAGACAGAATATGATTCTACATTCTTGGTATTTTAGTCAAGAGACTGGTATGGAGTCAGAAAAAAAAATCTTTAAGAATTCTGAAAACTGGATTTTCACACAGGATCCATACATACTGTAAAGAAATGTATAAATTGCTCTTACCAAACCATTCTTAAAGTTTTGTATTCTTTTCTTCCCCAACTTGGAGGTCAGCCATAAGGCCCAGGTTGGCATATACTGCCACATGTATGTCCCCATCAAGACAGGGTGATCGGAGATCCAAACTTCCTTCAAATCATTGGCCATGGAGATTAGCATTAGCCGGACACAGCGACTCGTTGGCATCTTGTAAGACTGATCTATACCATTCCTCATGGGCTGAAAGTCAAAGAGAAGGGGATGCTGAGGATTCCAAACCATCTCATGAGAATGTTAACTAGGAAGGGCCCAGAGCCCATCTAGCAGTGAGACTCTTTCAGGATGTGACCTGTCAACTGAGAGTCGTCATGGGTGCCAATGGAGGTTTGTAAGTTCCATTATTTCAAAGAGCCTAAAAGTCACAGGTTCACCACATTAGGTTACACAAGCTGAAGGCTCTTTATTTCGATCATAATCATCTCATAATAGGGTATCAATGCCTATTTTATTATCACATTTTCAGAAATACCAAATTACCAAGATTTACATTGGGCAAAGGATGTACAGTCTGGAGGTAAAATGATTATCTGGAATGGATAAGCTCCTGGCTTCAGTCCCCAGCACCACACAACATAAGAATAACTTACATTTATCAAGTGGCATAATGGGGAAGAAATATAAAAAGATAAAAGGACTTTCTTAATAAGAGTGGTGGATCCATAATGGTGAACTACTTATAAGTGACAGTCTGGCAATGTCACACACTAACCATTGTTAAAATGAGACACTTAAGTACTACCAAGTGACTTGAATGCTTTTCTTAATGCTATCACATTCTGTGAACAATTCATAAGTAGTTCTGAATAGGCACCTGACATATATGATAAAGCAAACATATGTAATACAGGACTCAATTTTTCCCTAGAATTTTTACCTTAGTTACTTCTTCAGTTAGGGCATTCTTCACAATGTCAGACTGCACAGGCCCTGGGTAAACGTTGCAAAATGTTATTCCTGGATATTGGATAAGCTCACATTGGAGAGCATTGAAAAAGCCCTAAGAACCACAAAACAAGAACATAAGAGAAAAGAAAAGGACAAAGTAAAGGAAATATAAATTATCCAAATACATGCTCTGTAATGGCCTGGTAGTACAGTGTTGCAAGTGTATCAGGCTTTATTTATTTATTCATTCATTTATTCATTTTTTAGTCTTGTAGTATTGGTGATTGAACCTATGACCTTGTACACATTAGGCAAGGGCTCTATGACTTCTATCTCTGGTACTTTTTAAATTAAAATAATGTTGTTACATGTATTTATTTGTTTATTTGGGGTTGTGTCATGCTAAGACTCAGAGGACAAATGCAGGCTCTCAAACTTCATGGCAAGTATTACCTACTGAGCCATTCCTGTGGAATAATCCTTTTATACACTGTGAAGATGTTTTGCTCTCATTGGTTTAATGAGTCAGTTGGCCAATAGCTAGGCAGAAAGAGGTTAGGCAAGAGAACCAGACTGAGAGAAACCTGGGAAGAAGGAGGGCGGAGTCGCCAGCCAAACGCAGAGGAAGAAGCAGGAGATAAACATGCCATGCTGAAAAAAGGTACTGCCACATGGTAGAGTGTAGATAAGAAATATGGATTCATTTAAGTTGTAAGAGCTAGTTAATAACAAGCCTAAGCTACCGGCCGAGCATTTATAATTAATAATAAGTAACTGTGAGGTTATTTGGGAGCTGGCTGGTAGGACAAAAAAGTCCGCCCACAGGCCATCTTGTCAGCACCCTTTTTGCAATTTATTTGGAAACAGTGGTCTAACTACGTTTTCCAGACTAGCTTTGAACTTATTTGCAGCCCAGGCAGGTCTTAAATATTCAAATCTCTTACCTCAGCCTCCCAAGTGCCTTGGATTATAGGCTTGTGCCACTAAGCCTGGCTCTACTAAGACATTTTTTAGAGATTTATTTTTGTTAATTTTAATTGGGGTGGGGGGGGTTAGGGTAAATGGTTCAAGCCCACATGTGGGTTTGAAAACCTACCAAAACCCACCAATCCCTGAGTCCCAAACCCCACCAATTCCTGAGTTCAAAATCCCATCAATCCCTGGGCTTGGTTTGAAATCCCACCAATCCCCACCCTTGAAATCTCTACCTCAGAAAACTCCACACACACACCCCCCAAAAAAAACCCTATATAAAGCCTGTCTCCTGCTCAGTTCCCTCCTGCTTCTCACCAGAGCAGAGGCAGCGCCCTCTTGTGTCTTTCTAAATAAATCTCTTGCATGAGGATTGTTGTGCAGTGTGACTTTGTGGTATTCCTTGGCTTTGGACTGCCAAGATGCCTTTCCTTTAGAGCTGTAACACCTCCACCGGGAAACCTTCCGCCTCAGAGCACTCGGGAGGCAGAGGCAGGAAGATCTCTGTGCACTCAGGGTCAGCCTGGTCTATAGAGAGAGTCCCGGGACAGCACATCCCAGGGATGTTACACAGAGAAACCCTGTCTTGAAAAACCAAAAGGAGCTGTTGCCCACCACAGAATGCCTGACAGGAGCTCCTTTTCAACACCCCGACCCCCCACCCAAGAGGCCAAATGTGTGGGTGTTTTAGCAAAGAAGGAAAAAAACAAGATTGGAACCACATGATAATAAGCATAAAGAAATTCAGTTTCTCAGTTTATTTTTAGTATTTTATCCAGAAGAATTCATTTCTGAAGGGACACTAGCCCACTCCAGCACGTAGCTCTGGCAGGCCTTGCCCTTCTCCCCCTTTCCCTCTGCCTTGCTAAAAACCATTAGATTACATTCCTAAAGCTAACCACCGAGGTCTATTCCCTTGTTTGGCAACTTTCTCCTCCTGAGGATGACTATCAAAGTCCAGCAATCAAAAGCCCCCTTTGGGCCAGGCGTTGGTGGCGCACGCCTTTAATCCCAGCACTTGGGAGGCAGAGGCAGGCGAATCTCTGTGAGTTCCAGGTCAGCCTGGTCTCCAGAGCGAGTGCCAGGATAGGCTCCAAAGCTACACAGAGAAACCCTGTCTCGAAAAACCAAAAAAAAAAAAAAAAAAAAAAAAAAAGCCCCCTTTGGCTCACCTAATTAACATGCCCAGCTAAAATTAAACGCCTCATCCTAACACAGGGTTTCCCCTTTTACCTTTATAAACCGCCCATTTTCAATGTGCCATGTCTCTTTCCCCTCTATCCAGAGGCAGTCTTTTGTCCCTCTGGGACAAATATCCCTTGTTTCCTTCCCCTTCTCCCTCATCCCCTGTCTCTTTTACCACCACATCCTAGCCTATTCTAACACAGACGTTCTTTTTTTTCCTCTTAAAAATTCTACCTGCAAGGTCATTTGCTGCCTGACTTAGAAAGCAGCCACTTTAACTTTCCTTCCCCACTTAATTAATGATTTCTGTGAAAACAGGTGTTTGGTTGTGGCTTGTGCCTACCTACTCCAGCATCCCGGAGGAAGCTCCCAATGTCGGGGGTGGGGGGCGTCTACTACAATGTCAGTGAAGAATTAATCATTTTATAGCCGATGACTAGTATATGACTAGTCACAAATACAATGTGACCACCTACTACAGGCCCTTCCAAGGACCAAGATAAATCTGCACTCTAAGATATGGGTCATTTCCAAACCAATAGAAATAAATAGATATTTGTTTTCCCTTATTTCTTTTCCTTAACTAGGAAATATATTCCTGCATTATTTTAAAGACCAGATGTTGGGTATGGTGGCTCATACTTGTCACCCTTCAGTAGAAATTGAGAAACAGAGGAATCAGATGTTCAAAGCCACCCTTAGCAAATAAGGGAATTGGAGGCCAAAATGTGCCACATGAGCCAGGCAGGAAAACAAAACAAAGCAAACAAACAAACAAACAAAAAAAACAATACTTACAAACCTAAAGAGCAAAATAGTGGATCCATCTGTACACAATCTTGTAGGGAGACACTGTTGCCCCGCCTCCTAGTAGCCCCTACAGGTGTGCCTGGCCACACCCATGAGGGCGTGGTCAGGGGAGGTCGAGGATGACGCGGAGAGAATTATTAAGAGGCCACGATCATGTGGATGCCCCTTCTCCCTGGCCACATTAGCTTGCGGCCTCTGGGCACGCTCTGGCTTGTGTTTGGGCTGATGTTTATCTAAATAAAGAAATCTTAGCCTTACGGATTACGGATCATCTTTGAGCGCTACGGATCATCTTTGAGCTCACGCAATACTTGACGCCCTGACACCCACGACCCATTCCCTCTCGGTGGGCCTCCATTGGCGGCCAC